TTTAATTTTATAAAAATAGGATGACTTTATCATATGGCTGCCATAGGAAAAACGATCGAATCTATCGAAAATTTAAACACATAAAAAATAGAAGTAAATCTGTTTTGTAGAATATTTGTTTAGTAATAGCTGCAAGGGTTTATTTAAATCCAAAGTTTGCTTCCTTTCTTGCTTGTATCGTTTTTATCAGAGTTCACGAAACCAACCAACGAACCAATCTTAAAAAGCATATTTTATTTTATTCCCGTTTAATCGCTTATAGTTTAATCCAGGATAGCATTGTCGTTATTAACGTTATGCTAAGTCTATCAAAATATTAGGACTAGATTCGTTGTTCATCAGAAAAAAGTACCATTAAATATAGAAAATAGAATTCTTTATTATTCAAAGAATACGTACGTGTATATTAGGCTTCACTTCGGGTCCAAAAGGTAAGCTGGATGCGCATAATGCCAGGCAGAACAAAATCACTTGAAATTTAATCATTTTTTTTTTAATTGTTTGTTTTTTTTATTGTTAAAGCCGGACCCTTTTTGGAGTCAACTTCGCTGTTCTGCGACAAGAAACAGATTAAACTTTTAAATTTGACTGCATTTCTGCAGAGCGCGTTTAAAATGCCAATTATTTTTGGGGTTTAAGGGTATGCTATGTTATATGGTGCACATGCAACAGTGAGGATAACATAAGAGTTGCATAAATGGTAAAATAAATTTATGCATTGGGTTAAAGATAAAAAAATCTGCTAGACTTCAGAGATGGTTTTTTTTAACTTCCCCACCTCTTCTTTTTTAATTTAATGAATGCAGTGTAGGATAACTCATTGTCGAGCCGCTTGACTTAACCATTCCGTCTACATACCGCCAAAAATGCTGTTCGCGATAAAATGTTGTACATTAATTTGATTAGCCAGTACATACGTATATGTGTATGCTTCCATTTCTTTTTAATTTAGTGAACCATTACAATATAATAATATATATATATCTTAAACATAAGAACATAAAATGCGAGAATGAGCGACCCGAACAAATATAGCGATTACGGATCATAATATAATATCCGACTGGGTTTGAAATAATAGTAAAGAAAATGCAATAAAATAGTTTCTGTAAATAATAAAAACAAATATAATAAAACTTAAGAATATTAAGTTTTTCAGAAACTGAATTAACAAAAATTTTAATATTATATGATTGACCATTTTAAAAAAAATTTTTTTTTAACACCGACGAGTATTGTTTAAGCTATGACGAATAATATTTCTGTTGAAGAAATACACAGCATTAATTTTAGTTAAAATTTAATCTTTTACGGATTTCCTGTGTTAAAATGTATCACAACAGTTTGATAAGAATTAAAAAACTGAAGAAAAGTTTTCGTGGAAACATGAAACATAATTTGGAATAACGAATTGTAGATTCTAGGAAGTATATATAAAGGTGACTGAGTTCAAAAATAGGATTGTGGCCATATATACGTATATTATGTCAACTAGGTTATACTTAACCCATAAGACTTACACATAATAACAAACTACTACATTATTATAACCGCTATAAAAGCCGAGTCAGGGTCTAATAAAGATTCGTTCATAACAAATTAATGTTAAGTTTGGTCAGGGAATCGGCGGTTAGAAATATACTTTGTTAGTCAAAGGAAGATGTACGAGCTGCACCAAAAAACAGTTGAAATAATAATAAATAAGCTGTATAAAAAACAAATAGATACTTGTTTGAAAAAGATCATTATCTTTTTAAATAAATAAGGGGTTGCTTACTTTTTGTTTGATGAAAGTTTTATTAAGCTCAAGTATATTACAAACTATACAAATTTTTATGTAAGAAAAAGCACAGCTTCGCATGTGAGTATATTTAATTTATTTGTATTAAATATTGTAAGTCTACGTGGATTAAAAACTATAACGAGCTTTTGTAAAATATGGCTTCGGTTTTAAAGTTGCGCCGGGCGGTATATCCTCGGTAGTACTTTGTGGCTCCTGCAGCAATGACCGCTCCAAGGATGATTCCAGCACAGCAGCCCATGATAACCATCCATTTGGGAGTCGATGTGCTGTCCTCACCCAACATGACCTCGTGCTCTGATCGTGGTTTAATGGGCTGCGGCACCCGGCAGAAGTAATGCGTTCCGTTGCAAAACATCTCATCAATTGCCACATTGCAGGGGCAATTAGCCACGTTTAGGCACGGCTTGTCCTGGTGATCCGCGTCTTTGAATTCGATCCAGCAAGGGCAACCGCCAGTACAATTCGAGTGGTGAGGCTGCAGCAAGTCGGCGTATGTGGCTTCAGTTCCTTTTGTGGCAGTAGTAGTCGTTGGGTACTGAGCTCGCACTGAGCTTGAGTCGACGGCCTCAGAAGTTCTTTTAGGGGGCTGAGAGGTCGAGGTACTCGTGGCTTGTGGCTGACAGCCCTGGTCGGTGCTCTCGTACCCCGGAAGACATTGGCATTCATCAGGCGCCACGCAGTCGCCGAATTCACAGCCTGCGGCACAGTGAGGCTTGCAAGTGGTGGCCGAGGACTTTGTGTATCCTTCCAGGCAACTGCATTCACCCGGTGCTGTGCAGGTTCCATTCACACAGGCTGTCGGACAGACGGGGTGGCATACGGATGTGGGATGATTCAAGTCTTCCGGCTGATAGCCCTCTTTGCATATACATACATTTGGGGCCATGCACTCCCCGTTCTTGCAGCCCAGCTCACAGATCGCTTCGCAAACGTGCTGGGAGTTGTCCTTGAAACGATATCCAGGATCGCAGGAGCAGGTTCCCGGCTGGGTGCATCTGCCGTGGACACAGGAAGGGCTGCACTGCGGCTCGCACGTTTCGTTGGGGCCCATCAGAAAGCCAGTGTTGCAGGCACACTTCTCCGGCGTATTACAGAAGCCGTTGGGACAGCCCTTGCTGCACTTGGGCTGGCACTTTCTGTCCTCTCCGGTTTCCTCGTGGCCCGGATAGCATTCGCACTGGTTGGGCGCCACACAACGTCCGAGGTCCGAACAGGCTTCCTCGCAGTGTGGCTCGCAGAGATTGCCCCTTTTTATGTAGCCGGGTTTGCAATCGCAGACTTCCGGAGCGCTACAACTGCCATTCTCGGGGCAACTTGAGCACACTGGCTGGCAATTCGTGCCATTCTCGCTACCAGCGTATCCTGGCTCACACTCACAGATCTCTGGCCTCACACACCGGCTGTTCTGGCCACAGTCTTCCTCGCAGTGTGGCTCGCATTGATTGCCCTTTTTCATGAAGCCGGGATTGCAAACGCAGACTTCCGGAGCGGTACAACTGCCATTCTCGGGGCAACTTGAGCACACTGGCTGGCAATTCGTGCCCTTATCGCTACCAGCGTATCCTGGCTCACACTCGCAGATCCCAGGCCTCACACACCGACTGTGCTGGCCACAGTCTTCGTCGCAGTGTGGCTCGCAGAGATTGCCATTTTTCATGTAGCCGGGATTGCAAACGCAGACTTCCGTAGCGGTACAACTGGCATTCTCCGGGCAACTTGAGCACACTGGCTGGCAATTTGTGCCGTTCCTGATACCGTCGTATCCTGGCTCACACTCACAGATCTCTGGCCTCACACATCGACTGTGCTGGCCACAGTCTTCGTCGCAGTGTGGCTCGCAGAGATTGCCGTTTTTCATGTAGCCGGGATTGCAAAAGCAGACTTCCGGAGCGCTACAACTGGCATTCTCCGGGCAACTTGAGCACACTGGCTGGCAATTCGTGCCGTTCCTGATACCGTCGTATCCTGGGTCACACTTGCAGATCCCAGGCCTCATACACCGACTGTGCTGTCCACAGTCTTCCTCGCAGATGGGCGAGCACATGCCATTTGAATCCACCTGGTAGCCTTTTGGGCAGGCATACGGGTCTCTCAAAGCTTCCGCGGCACCTGCACATAAATCCGGCTAAGCAAAAATGTAAAGTTGTGTATTAGATTTCTCGTATATCGCAGTAAAAATCAAATGTACATCATAAAAGGTCTACCGTTTGGTTTCCTGATTCGAAAGCAAACTTTAAGTATGTTTTTCTAATGTTAGTTTGTATATATATACATTTTTAAGTAAAGTAGAATTCGGTTAAAGTCGGAGTACTAATGTTAGTAAGATTATTTTTACTTTATTCGTATTCGCTTGCAGAAGATATCAGAAGACATTTACTTTCCTCTGATATTCTTGATCAGTATCACCAGGCGATGCGATCTAGTCTAGCCATCAGTCAAAGTACCATTAAATATAAAAAATATAATTATTTGTTATTCAAAGAATACGTACATTGGGTACAAAACCTGAGCTTGAAGCACACAATGCCAGACAGATCAATATCACTCGAAATTTAATCATATTTTGTATATGTTTTTTCCTTTTATTGTTAAGACCGAACCCTTTTTGGAGTCAACTTCTCTGTTCTGCGACAAAAACCAAATTAAATTTTTAAATTTGACTACATTTCTGTAGAGCTTGTTTCAATAGGAGTTATTTGTAGGGTTCAAGGGTATACTAGATTATTTGGTGAACATGCAACAGTGAGGAGCATCTTAATTTCCATAAATAGTCCAATAAATTTAAGCACTGTTTCGGGATTTAAGAAAATAGTGGACTTCAGAGATTGTTTTTTTTTAACTCCATTAGGGTTTCAATTTAATGAATTAAGTGTAGGGTAGCTCATTGTCAGGCCGCTCGACTTAAGAATTCATAATAACGCCAAAATCGCTGGATGCGATAAAATTTTGAGCATTAATTTGATTAGTCAGTTCGTATATATGCTGGCTTTATTAAAGCGATAAGACGCTTAACATAATATCCGGCTGTGCGCAAAATAATAATACAAAAAAATAAGCTTAGAATTCATTTAAAAAACTATTTAAAAAGGTTTTTACTTATAATGATGATTAATTTAGTCGATAATTTTTTTAATTATGACAATTTAAGACGTTGGGACGGCCTATTCTCGTTTTGAATAAATAGAAGGTAGCTCGCTTTCCGTTTATAAAAGTATTATTACGATCAAGTTTATTAGAAACTTTAGACTTTATTAGAAAATAAGAAAAAACACAGCATTAAAAGTGAGTAAACTTCAAGGGTATATAATGAATACTGTTAGTACATGTAGATTAGAGACTATAACGATCAGTTCTCATAGATGGCTTCCGTTTCAAAGTTGTGTCTGGATCTATAACCTCGGTAGTACTTTGCAGCTACTGCGGCCATGGCCGCTCCGAGGATGATTCCAGCACAGGAGCCCATGATAACCATCCATTTGGGAGTCGAAGTGCTGCCCTTAGCCAACATGACCTCGGACTCTGATCGCGCTTTAATGCGCTGCGGCACTCGGCAGACGTAGTGCGTTTCCTCGGAGCTCGAGTCCTCGTCCTCAGGCGCAACGTCGTTGCAAATCATCTTACCACTTGGCAGGTCGCAGCGGCAATTGGCCAAGTCTAGACACGGCTGGTCCTGGTGATCCGCGCACACCTTGGCGCACTTGGCCGTGCTCAGAATCCCCTCGTCGTCGAACTCGATCCAGCACAGGCAACCGCCAGAGCAATTGGAGTAATGAGGCTGCAGAAGGTCGGCGTATGTGGCATCGGTTTCTTTTGTGGCAGGAGTGGTAATGGGGTCCCGAGCTCGTGCTGAAGTTGTGTCGACGGCCTCAGAAGTTTCGGTAGTGGGCTGTGAGGTCGAGGTACTCGTGGCTTGTGGCTGACATCCCTGGTCGGTGTTCTCGTACCCCGGAAGACATTGGCATTCATCAGGCGCCACGCAGTCGCCGAATTCACAGCCTGCGGCACAGTGAGGCTTGCAAGTGGTGGCCGAGGACTTTGTGTATCCTTCCAGGCAACTGCATTCACCCGGTGCTGTGCAGGTTCCATTCACACAGGCTGTCGGACAGACGGGGTGGCATACGGATGTGGGATGATTCAAGTCTTCCGGCTGATAGCCCTCTTTGCATATACATACATTTGGGGCCATGCACTCCCCGTTCTTGCAGCCCAGCTCACAGATCGCTTCGCAAACGTGCTGGGAGTTGTCCTTGAAACGATATCCAGGATCGCAGGAGCAGGTTCCCGGCTGGGTGCATTTGCCGTGGACACAGGCAGGTATGCACTGCGGCTCGCACGTTTCGTTGGGGCCCATCAGAAAGCCAGTGTTGCAGGCACACTTCTCCGGCGTATTACAGAAGCCGTTGGGACAGCCCTTGCTGCACTTGGGCTGGCACTTTCTGTCCTCTCCGGTTTCCTCGTGGCCCGGATAGCACTCGCACTGGTTGGGCGCCACACAGCGTCCGAGGTCCGAACAGGCTTCCTCGCAGTGCGGCTGGCAGATATTGCCGTTTTTCATGTAGCCGGGATTGCAAACGCAGACTTCCGGAGCGGTACAACTGCCATTCTCGGGGCAACTTGAGCACACTGGCTGGCAATTCGTGCCCTTATCGCTACCAGCGTATCCTGGCTCACACTCACAGATCTCTGGCCTCACACACCGGCTGTTCTGGCCACAGTCTTCGTCGCAGTGTGGCTCGCAGAGATTGCCGTTTTTCATAAAGCCGGGATTGCAAACGCAGACTTCCGGAGCGCTACAACTGCTGTTCTCGGGGCAACTTGAGCACTCTGGTCGGCAATTTGTCCCACTCTCGCTACCAGCGTATCCCGGCTCACACTCGCAGACCCCTGGCCTCACACACCGGCTGTTCTGGCCACAGCCTTCCCCGCAGAAGGGCGAGCAATGGCCTTGCGCATCTTCCTGGTATCCTTGTAGGCAGGCGCACAAGTGCGGCTCCTTGCAATAGGAGTTTGGACCGCATTCGGGGTCACAAGATGGTTGGCAGGCGCCCTGTATCTTCTCATAGCCAGGTTCGCACTGGCATTGGCTTGGCTCCGCGCAGAAGCCGTGATCTCCACATCCCTCGGGACACACGGGCTGGCAGTTTTCGGTGCGGGAGTTCCGGCTGTAGCCATTTAGGCAGCTGCACTGGCCGGGTCGCTCGCAAAACTCGTGCTTTCCACAAACCGCGGGGCAGAGGGGCTGGCACTCGGATCCGCCGTAGCCCTCGTTGCACCTACATTGTTGGGGGGCGGCGCAGAAGCTGTTGGCAGGACATCTCACCTGGCAGACGGGCCTGCAGGAGTATATGGATCCCTCGTAGCCGGGACAGCAGGTGTACCTGGTTTCATATCTGTAGGAGACCTGGGGGAAAGCGGAAATATAGCTTTAATAATTTAATCAAAGTTCATTACATTACCGAAATTAATACGTTTCAAAATATCCGGCAGGATCTTATTGATTCCTCATTTTTCCCATTTACCTGGGGTTCATATCCTCCAGATTGTCTATATCTTGTCGAATAACCACCGAAGTAGGATTGATATTGATATGGCACCATTTTTGTTTTGTAAACTTGGTGCATATACGAAACTCTTGTCGAATAAGGGCAAACATTTCCGATACTCGGACGGCAAGAAGGTAAACCAAAGATTAGTGCCAGGCACACAAAAGTAAAGTAATAAAAGGACATGAATATTGTGTTTTTTGTTGGTTTTTTTTTTTAATTAAGCAACTTATCTTCAGCAGCCACTCTGCCCAATGATTTAAATTGAAATGAACTCTTAAAACTGGGATGCTTTTATTCGCTCTTTTTTCGGATACCGGATTATATGTACATCCGTCTTTCGCAGATTGGACTATGACTTACAGTCCAATTGTGTAATTCCCACTGTTTTGATTGTGTAAAGACGACAATTGAAACAAAGGAATTGAAAACATTTGATAGTAAGGGTTTAAATATCTCAATTCACTGTGATTTATTGAATTACTGTATTAAACATTTGCCATTTTAAGTTGTGTTCGTAGAACAAAGTGTTTCCGAGCCTCTAAAATATACATATATATTTTAGTAATCAGGATCAATCGCTGATTCTATCTAGGCATGTCCGTCCTTAGGAAATTTGAGATCTTGGAAACAACAAAATCTAGAGAGTTGGGACTAGCTGAGTAAGGGGTATCTTGTAGTCGAGGCACTCGAATAAAGCGATTTTTCTTGTCTTGTATTAAAAACAGGGAAAGCATTAAAAGCTTATATTTACCTCGTCTTGATATGAATATTCAGTGCGATATTTCGTCTGCCAACCACTCCAAAAAGAGTGCTCCTGGTATGGTACCTTTTTGCTCCTGTAGACCGGATGTATATATGTAACAAACTCCTGGCGAGAACACACATTTGGCCCGTAGGCTCGAAATGAGTCAACTAATACTATCAAAAAAATTAGCCACACCAAAAGCCATCGAATCTGTGACATTTTGCAAATAATCAGTATACTTGTGAAATGCAGCGTCGCTATCTTATATATATGTTCTGGGTAACGTTCCGAATTCAACTGAGCTCTTAATAGTTTTTATATTAAGTAAGTAACTCTAAGTTCAGTTGCATCCGTTAAGCTTGAGATAAACTAGACTTGCAAAGCTCGTATTGATATTATAAATTTTTTATCCCACATGACAATCCAATTTGATTTGAATTTTATAATGTTTTAATTAGTTATTTCCTATGTCTGTAAAGCGTAAACGCGCATAAACTTATTGGAGTATAAACAAAGTTAAAAAAATAAAGAAGAAATTTTATTTTAATTTAAATTTCTTATCTAAATAATCAAATTTTAAAATTTTAATATTTTTTTAGTGCCCTATGGCTTTTTATTAGGGAATTTCATTAGGGATTCCCGCGTTGCAACAGCAAACTTTTTTAAACACGATTGTAATCAAATAAAAGCAGCTTGTTATGAAGATTGACGGCTGGCAATAATGATTAGCTCTTATCTGATATACGGAGGTACTGCTGATGGTGTTCTATAGAGCAGTACTCTCTCCCTCAGTAGCTATTGTTTTGGAATAGGTATTTCAGTGAGCAAAACAGTCCATGTTGTGGCTAGAAATCTCTCATTGAGGGCTGGCTATCAAATAAAATGAGCAGCTACAAATAGAGCGCAATTGCTAGTGCCGCCGCAGACGTGATACTGAGTTCTTCGCGTTTGGAGGTAAATTGGAAGGCTCCGAAAATGATTTTGATTACTTTGACCCTGGGTTTGCTGGCGATCTGGCTGCTGTATGTTGTTTTGACATGGAACTACAACCACTGGAGAAAGCGAGGAGTACCGGGTCCCAAGCCCAGTCTATTCGTAGGTAACTACCCCCACATGTTTACTATGAAGCGACATCTCATCTACGATCTGGACGACATCTATAAGTGAGTAAATCTCTAAAAAATATATCAGTCTAAAATTACTTATACCACAACTGAAATGCAACGAAGTAAGACGTCCAAGTTTGGATTTTGTATGCTAGTTTGTTCTGTGTGCGAATATTTTTTATTAAATGGTTGTTACTCAGTATGTATATTTACAAGCTCTTTAAGCTCTAAATTTACTATCTACATATTATTTTAGGCAGTATAAGCACAAGTACGACGCAGTGGGCATTTTTGGCTCTCGCTCTCCACAGCTTCTGGTGGTCAATCCGGAGTTGGCTCGTCGCGTATTCGTGTCCAACTTTAAGAACTTCCATGACAACGAGATTTCCAAGAACATTGACGAGAAAACCGATTTTATTTTCGCCAACAATCCCTTCTCGCTGACTGGCGAAAAGTGGAAATCTAGGCGGGCAGACGTGACTCCTGGTCTAACAATGGGACGGGTAAGAGAGTGCCAATATAATATTATATATAACCTCTCAAAATATTCAATGCCTCCACAGATTAAGACAGTCTACCCAGTGACAAACCAGGTGTGCCAGAAGCTGAGCGAGTGGGTGGAGAAGCAAATACGTCTGGGTTCTACAGACGGTATTAATGCCAAGCATGTACGTATTTTTATTACCCATTATTCGTATTTGAAAGGTTGCTTTGCATTGGTACAAAAAGTATGTGTACCCCAATAAAGATTCAATTTATGTTTTGGATCATATTTTTGTACGGTAGCTACATATTTTTGTATCCGTTGAGTTTGTATTGAAAATATATATCTCAATACCTTTAAGTAGAACTATTTTTGTCATTTCCAAATTAATCCATTTGTTGTCATTAACATATTTTGAAAATTTCAAATTGATTTTTTTACTAATACTAAAAGAAACAAATATGTTTGGACTCCATCCAAGGTCACAGTAATTCACAGTCGGTTAACTTATTCAGATCGATTTTCTCATTAGAATAACTATAATTACTGTATACCCATAATATAAATAAAACCCGTTTTATCCACACCCGCAGATGAGCCTTTGTTTTACATCCGAAATGGTCACCGATTGCGTTTTGGGATTGAAGGCTGAAAGTTTCTCGGACAGGCCCACGCCCATTATGTCGCATATCAATGATCTCTTCAATCAGCCCTGGACTTTCGTGCTGTTTTTTGTGCTGACCAGCAGTTTTCCTTCGCTGAGCCACCTGTTAAAGCTGCGCTTCGTACCGCCAAAAGTGGAACGCTTCTTCGTGGATTTGATGGGCAGCGCAGTGGAGGCCCGTCGCGCCCAATTGGCCAATGGAAAGCTGTTCGAGCGAACGGACTTCCTGGACTACATCCTGGAACTCGGGAAAAAGCGGTCCCTGGACAATCGCCAGTTACTGGCCTATTCCATGACCTTCTTGCTGGACGGTTTCGAGACGACGGCCACGGTACTGGCCCACTTGCTGCTCAACCTAGGCCGAAATGCCGAGGCTCAGGAGCGTCTTCGCAAGGAGATAAGCGCCCATTTGCAGGATGGCGTCATCGCCTTTGACAAACTCAACGATTTGCCCTACCTGGATGCCTGTGTGCAGGGTGAGCTATAGCCCATTCTAGGCTGCAGTACACGTTACTAATCTGCTGATTATATCTTGATTTGCAGAAACCATCCGCCTCTTTCCGCCCGCCTTTATGTCCAACAAACTTTGCACCGAAGCCATCGAGATCCCCAACAAGGATGGGCCCAACTTTGTGGTGGAGAAGGGCACCACTGTGATCGTTCCCCACTACTGCTTCATGATGGATGAGGAGATCTTTCCCGATCCACAGTCCTTCCAGCCAGATCGATTCATGGAGCCCGATGCTGCCAAAACATTCAGAGAACGAGGTGTTTTTATGGGATTCGGAGATGGTCCTCGAGTGTGTATTGGTAAGTGGACTTATTTTTAATTTGAGGCGAAGTTTAATCAGAAACTGTGAGACTTAAGATATGGAATTTTAGATATTAGATTAGATAAGATTAATATTTATATCAAATTTCAAGAAAATTTAAGACTGAAACCTTCGAAAAGAAAATTCAAATGATGAACTTTTGATATGTACATATATCATGATTCTGCTGAGTTATTCCATTTTTTTCATTAGAACTATAATTTGGTTTTCACTATAATATTAATTTTTATTTATTTATTTTTCTGCAGGAATGCGATTTGCCACATCACAGATAAAGGCAGCCATTGTGGAACTGATCTCCAAGTTCAATGTCAAGATCAATGCCAAAACTCGCAAAGACAACCAGTACGACCCAGCCCAAATCATCTCTGGTCTGAATGGTGGAATTTGGTTAGATCTTGAAAAGCTTTAGAGATGCAATTAATCCATCATTCCCAAGGAACTATTAATGGCCCAGTTACCCAGTGCATCGCTCCAGTATATATTATATGTACCTCCAGTGCGATAGTTAAGCTCCCATAAGCTTTTGACTTTGCTATTGCTTTGTATGTATTTACAATATATGGCTGTGTTTAAAATTACTTATGACGAACTAACTAGAGAAAATTGTAAGTTTACTGAATAGGATGGACCTACAATTTTAAAGTTATGTTTTTATTAATAAATAATATCTGGACAATGTAGACTTGAAACGGCAGACAGGGGAATTTTAACATACTAAAAACTGTGTTTAGAAATCACAGGCTTGTGGCTGACAGCCCTGGTCGGTGTTCTCGTACCCCGGAAGACATTGGCATTCATCAGGCGCCACGCAGTCGCCGAAATCGCAGCCTGCGGTACAGTGAGGCTTGCAAGTGGTGGCCGAGGACTTTGTGTATCCTTCCAGGCAACTGCATTCTCCCGGTGCTGTGCAGGTTCCATTCACACAGGCTGTCGGACAGACGGGGTGGCATACGGATGTCGGATGATTCAAGTCTTCCGGCTGATAGCCCTCTTTGCATATACATACATTTGGGGCCATGCACTCCCCGTTCTTGCAGCCCAGCTCACAGATCGCCTCGCAAACGTGCTGTGAGTTGTCCTCGAAACGATATCCAGGAGCGCAGGAGCAGGTTCCCGGCTGGGTGCATGTGCCGTGGACACAGGCAGGGATGCACTGCGGCGTTGGGGCCCATCAGAAAGCCAGTGTTGCAGGCACACTTCTCCGGCGTATTACAGAAGCCGTTGGGACAGCCCTTGCTGCACTTGGGCTGGCACTTTCTGTCCTCTCCGGTTTCCTCGTGGCCCGGATAGCATTCGCATTGGTTGGGCGCAACACAGCGTCCGAGGTCCGAACAGGCTTCCTCGCAGTGTGGCTCGCAGAGATTGCCCCTTTTTATGTAGCCGGGATTGCAAACGCAGACTTCCGGAGCGCTACAACTGTCATTCTCCGGGCAACTTGAGCACACTGGCTGGTAATTCATGCCATTCTCGCTACCAGCGTATCGTGGCTCACACTCGCAGATCCCAGGCCTCAAACACTGACTGTGCTGGCCACAGCCTTCCCCGCAGAAGGGCGAGCACTGGCCTTGCGCATCTTAAAAAAGGGAAAAAATTGTTATTCTGCTGTTTTTTCTATTTATCAAAATAATATTGTAATTATTTACTATATCAGCATTACGCTTTAAGTTTAGTCAAAATTGGACAACAAAATCATATAGTTGCCAAAGAAACGATGGCAAAATGCAGCACAAAATCGAAATAGCTTCATTGTTTTAAGTAATAATTGTTTTTAGAAATCGAAATGTAGTCGGTTTGTAATAACTGCAAGGGTATATACGCTTCGGCTTGCCGAAGTTTGCTTCTTTTCTTGTTATTAGGGAATTTCATAAGGGAACCCCGCGTTGCAACAGCATACATTTTTGAACACGATTGTAATGAAATAAAATCAGCTCTTTATGAAGATTGACCGCCACCAATAATGATTAGCTCTTATCTAATATACGGAGGTACTGAGCAGTACTCTCTTTCTCCGTAGCTTTTAATTTAGGAAAAGGTACCTCAGTGAGCACCCAGTCCATGTTTCGGTTGACAATCTCTCTTTGGGGCCTGGGTATCAATTACAATGAGCAGCTACAAATAGAGCGCAATTGCTAATGCTGCCGCAGACGTGATACTGAGTTCTTCGCGAGTGGAGGTCAATTTGGAGGCGCCCAGAATGATTTTGATTACTTTGACATTGGGATTGTTGGCGGTTTGGCTGCTGTATGTCGCTTTGACATGGAACTACGACTACTGGAGAAAGCGAGGAGTACCGGGTCCCTAGCCCAGTCTTTTCGTCGGCAACTACCCTAACATGTTAACTATGAAGCAACATGTCGTCAACGATCTAGACGATATCTATAAGTGAGTATCCAAAATAAAGTTTATATGGGACTATCTTCCTGTAATATGGAAAACATTACTTAAGAAAGTTTATATAAACATTATATTATTAAACGAGTTAAACGAGTTCTTATACTGAAAAAACATATGAGGCTAAAATTAGTGAGCTTGTGAGATTTCCCCGACCCAATACGATAACATATATATTCTTGATCAGCATCACCAAAAGAGCCTATTTAGTCATGTCCGTCCATTTGTCTAATCGTTTCTATGCAAGCTAGTCCCTCACTTTTAAAGCTTTTTTTATTAATTGGTTTTTACTCACTATATATATTTACAAGCATTCAAATCAATTATCTACATATTCTTTTAGGCAGTATAAACACAAGTACGACGCAGTGGGCATTTATAGCCTTCGCGCTCCCCAGCTTCTAGTGGTCAATCCCGAGTTGGCTCGTCGCGTATTCGTGTCCAACTTTAGGAACTTCCATGACAACGAGCTTTCCAAGAGTGTTGACGAAAAAAACGATTTTATTTTCTCCAACAATCCCTTCACGCTGACTGGAGAACAATGGAAATCTAGGCGGGCAGACGTGACTCCTGGTCTATCAAATGGACGGGTAAGAGAGTGCCAATATAATATTATACATAACCCATCAAAATATTCAATGCCTCCACAGATTAAGACAGTCTACCCAGTGACAAGCCAGGTGTGCCAGAGACTGAGCGAGTGGGTCGAGAAGCAAATACGTCTGGGTTCTGCAGATGGAATTGATGCCAAGCATGTACGTATTTGTATTATCAATTATTTTTATTTAAAAGGTTGATATGCGTTGGTCCAAATGTATGAAAGGAATTAATTCTTGTACAGGATACATATTTTCGTCATTTTTAAAAATTATACCTTTTTTGTCTATAACATATTTTTAAAATTTCAAATTAATCGGATAAATAATTTGGGGAAGTTGGGCCTTGGATAAAGAGTTTTTAAATTAACCTAATTTAAAAAAATATTTTAAATTATAGTACATTTTATTTATTTTCCTTTTGTGTTAATTTATTGGTTGGCCCTCCATCCAAAGTCACAGTAATTTATAGTCGGTAAACTCATTTAGATCGATTTTCTCATTAGAATATCTATATTAAGAGTGAAATTCATATATAACCCGTTTTGCTTTACCCACACCCACAGATGAGCCTATGCTTCACATCAGAAACGGTCACCGATTGTGTTTTGGGATTGAAGGCTGAAAGCTTCTCGGACAGGCCCACACCCATTATGTCGAAAATCAATGATCTCTTCAATCAGCCATGGTCTTTCATGCTGTTTTTTTTACTGACCAGCATTTTCCGTCGTTAAGGCACCTGATAAAGCTGCGCTTCGTACCGCTAAAAGTGGAACACTTCTTCGTGGATTTGATGGGCAGCGCAGTGGAGGCCCGTCGCGCCCAATTGGCCAATGGAAAGCTGTTCGAGCGAACGGACTTCCTGGACTACATCCTGGAACTCGGGAAAAAGCGGTCCCTGGACAATCGCCAGTTACTGGCCTATTCCATGACCTTCTTGCTGGACGGTTTCGAGACGACGGCCACGGTTCTGGCCCACTTGCTGCTCAACCTAGGCCGAAATGCCGAGGCTCAGGAGCGTCTTCGCAAGGAGATAAGCGCCCATTTGCAGGATGGCGTCATCGCCTTTGACAAACTCAACGATTTGCCCTACCTGGATGCCTGTGTGCAGGGTGAGCTATAGCCCATTCTAGGCTGCAGTACACGTTACTAATCTGCTGATTATATCTTGATTTGCAGAAACCATCCGCCTCTTTCCGCCCGCCTTTATGTCCAACAAACTTTGCACCGAAGCCATCGAGATCCCCAACAAGGATGGGCCCAACTTTGTGGTGGAGAAGGGCACCACTGTGATCGTTCCCCACTACTGCTTCATGATGGATGAGGAGATCTTTCCCGATCCACAGTCCTTCCAGCCAGATCGATTCATGGAGCCCGATGCTGCCAAAACATTCAGAGAACGAGGTGTTTTTATGGGATTCGGAGATGGTCCTCGAGTGTGTATTGGTAAGTGGACTTATTTTTAATTTGAGGCGAAGTTTAATCAGAAACTGTGAGACTTAAGATATGGAATTTTAGATATTAGATTAGATAAGATTAATATTTATATCAAATTTCAAGAAAATTTAAGACTGAAACCTTCGAAAAGAAAATTCAAATGATGAACTTTTGATATGTACATATATCATGATTCAGCTGAGTTATTCCATTTTTTTCATTAGAACTATAATTTGGTTTTCACTATAATATTAATTTTTATTTATTTATTTTTCTGCAGGAATGCGATTTGCCACATCACAGATAAAGGCAGCCATTGTGGAACTGATCTCCAAGTTCAATGTCAAGATCAATGCCAAAACTCGCAAAGACAACCAGTACGACCCAGCCCAAATCATCACTGGTCTGAATGGGGGAATTTGGTTAGATCTTGAAAAGCTTTAGAGATGCAATTAATCCATCATTCCCAAGGAACTATTAATGGCCCAGTTACCCAGTGCATCGCTCCAGTATATATTATATGTACTTCCAGTGCGATAGTTAAGCTCCCATAAGCTTTTGACTTTGCTATTGCTTTTTATGTATTTACAATATATGGCTAGTATATACACGCTGTGCTTAAAAATATAAATTTAAAGTTACGTTTTTATAAATAAATAATATATGGACAATGTAGACTTGAAACAGAAGACAGGGGGATTTTAACATACTAAAAACTGTGTTTAGAAATGACAAATACAAAACTGGGTTTAGCTTAATGACTCGTGATCGAGCTTAGTGTGCTTTTAAATAGCAAGATAAGCGAATCAAGTGCAATTAAATGGGCAAATTCAATGTTAAGGATCTCAGTGCGAGTGGACTGCACTTGGACTCGTATCGCAATCTCTGGGGCTATTGTTCTCCCAGCATTTGGGTTCATTAAACACATATAACGCACATGAATGGCGATAGAGAGAGGAAAATAAAAGTTTAAATGATAAGCGCGTAAGTCTGAGTTATTCGCCCATTGAATCCATGGGAAGCCAATTGGTTGGTCATTTGTCAAGTGCAACTTAAAGTGAACAGTTGCAACAAGTCTTAAATCGGGTATTGCTTCCAAGATCAAACCAGAATGTTTGTCCTGTTTTTGGTGTTATTGGCAGGGATGCAGGTCCAGGCCTGTGTCAATCGAGTTCCGTGAGTACAAATCTTCGTCTTTTAAATTGTTTGCCACCTAATGAAAGACTACTTGTAAAATTCAAGGGTGGTCAAAATGCGTGGAACTCTGGTAACAATGCGAAAGTACCAAAGTTCCGCAAACTGCACTGTTAATTGTGGGCCTTTGGTGGGAAGAACCAGAACTGAGGTAAGCTAATCCATAAAATCTGGGAAAAATATCTTTTAAGGAACAGAGTTTTATTGGCAATATAAATTTAAATTAATTTAGAATGCAAATACATAAAATATAACAAATTTAAATCAGTTGTTTCAAACTTGATCTGCAAATAAAAAAGGCAATCGCGCGCAAATCTATTAAAACAGACGGAAAGACGGAAGTCTGATCAAGAATTTATATACCTTCACTGCAGAAAAACATTTAGCAAATGAATAAAAACATAATTTTAATAATCTCAAATCAATAAGGTAAAATTTTTTTTAAGCATTTGAATGTCTCTCCTTTTGCCAGACATACACGGGATTCCATGACATCTGCTGCGACGGATATATACGCAATAATGACAAGTAAGGATCCACGTCAAGAATCGCAATTCAGGCAGCTATGTAAGTGCCATCTTTATATCTTTTCAGTGAGTGTGTGCCGCAGTGCAAGGATTGCGGGGCCACGGGAAAGTGCCTCACGCCCAATGTGTGTTTGTGCGACAAGGGCTACTCGAATCGCCGAGATCGCGGTCACTGTGAGCCGGAGTGCAGCGAGTCCTGTCTGAACGGAAGATGCGTGGCTCCGGATGAGTGCGAGTGCCTGGCTGGCCATCGGTTTGTCAATGGTTCCCAGACGGAGTGCCAGCCCATTTGTGCGGAGGACTGCAGCAATGGGCGCTGTTTGGAGTCGGGAAAATGCGAGTGCTACACCGGCTACCAGCGGAATGAGACCCTTAGGAAGTGCCTGCCCATCTGCCAGGATGTCTGCTTCCACGGCGATTGTGTGGCGCCCAACGAGTGCCGCTGCCATCGCGGCTACGAACCGCGCTTGTCGGTGCCCTGGATTTGCGACCCGGTCTGTTCGAGCGGCTGCCCCAATGGAAACTGCCTGGACCCCGAGGTGTGCTTCTGCAGGACCGGCTACGCCCACAAGGAGAACAGTCTCGCCTCGGGCTGCGAGCCAGTCTGCAACCCGTCCTGTGTGAATGGCACCTGCATCTCACCTGGCCACTGCTCCTGCGACGAAGGACACGTCTTCGCCGAGGGATCGCGTAATGTGTGCGTGCCCAGCTGTCGCTCCGGATGCGAGAATGGTTTCTGCAGTGCCCCCGGTCGCTGCGATTGCCACGAGGGCTTCGAGAAGTCCTCGCCGCACCGCTGTACGCCCATCTGCCAAACGGGATGTGGCCGCAACTCCCGCTGCACCGCCCCGGACACCTGCGCCTGCGAGGCGGGCTACGTCTTCGTCAACGGCAGCACCACCGAGTGCGAGCCCTTCTGCCCCAAGGGCTGCCGGTACGGGATATGCAGCAGTCCCGGCGTCTGCACCTGCTTCGAAGGCTACCAGGTGAGCACTGAAACATTATTCTGATTTATTAACACCAACTCCGAAAACCAACTTCCTTAAAATTAGGAAAATCTCATTGCTATTCCTAATATATGTCCCACTTTTTTTAAGTGATAAGAATTTCGTAGTCGTTGAATCCTTAAAATATGAGAATTTTTTCCCAAATACTTACCAATATTATATTTGCACATACTGTCGAACTTCCATTAATCAATTTTCTGAATTCTAATTACAAGGTAAAATTTAAGTATGCCCAACTCCTCATTTTTTTTGGTGGAAAAATTGAGCCTGATCCGTTTTAGTTCGACTGTATTTTATATTTAATTTGTTAAAGCACAATTTAAAAGACTAGCCTATTTTAAGACCATGAAACAAATTTAGCCTTTTAAGGAATTTAACCACTTACTTATCCCTTTCCTTGATCCTTACTGATATCGTTTTCTACTAGGCCCTGCTTCCATTCTACTGCATTCCCAACTGCCCGGGTCCCTGCATTTACGGCACTTGTGTGGCGCCCAACGTGTGCCGCTGCTTCAACGGCCACCGGCCGAGTCCCACGCTCGGAACGAGTGTCTGCCAGCCCATCTGCAGCCAGGACTGTGGGCACGGCCACTGCATCGCCCCGGAGTCCTGCCAGTGCGACGAGGGCTACGCCAAGCGGTGGCCCCACGGATCCTGCGAGCCCCACTGTCCGCAGAAGTGCGTGAACAGCCACTGCGAGGGATCGGGCCAGTGCCGGTGCTACGAGGGCTACAAGATGAGGCCGGGATCCGTCTCCATCTGTGATCCGGTGTGCTCGCCAGCATGCAGGAACGGCACCTGCGTGGAGCCCAACAGTTGTGCCTGCTCCGCCGGCTACGAGGACACCAAGGTGCCGTACGAATGCGTGCCCATCTGCCGGCCCAGGTGCGAGAATGGCCGGTGCTCCGCCCCGGGGCAATGTGAGTGCCTTCCCGGCCACCTGGCCACCAACTCTAGTGAGCCCAACTCCTGTCGTCCCCAGTGCCGGGAGCAGTGCATCAACGCCGAGTGCCTGGCGCCGGAGCAGTGCGTCTGCCTGCCCGGCTATCGATTTATACCAGATAGCAGCACCGAATGCGAACCGGTTTGCTCCAAGGGATGTCGTTCCGGCCAGGTGTGCATAGGCCCCGAAACCTGTGAGGGCATTGGATCGCTCATTAGTCCCACCGCCGGCAGACACCCCGTCCTCCACTGGTTCATGTTCCTCCTGGCCATTCTGCTCTGCTTGGCCTTGGTCATGACACCTCTGTTAGTGCTCAGGGAGCTACAGCGACGACGTCGTGGAGGCGACAAGCAGAGGACCCATCTCATCGAGAACCCCTCATACGGAGTTGTTCAGGCCAACGGCGAGGAGGCCGCCAACGAGCTGGGAATCGGCCTAGGGGATTAACAATTGAAAACCTTAGAAGTTCATCTTTAAAACTAAATTTAGAGCCCTTACAAAGCCAACAATTTTTCCAAATAACTTAGGGTAAAATCAATTCTTAACTTTTGATTTTTTAGCTAATATACAACCCTTAAAATTAATTTGTTAAGAAACATCCTTGCTGTTAAAATTCTGTTAGGGTGAATAAGCCTCTTCGCTTCTTTCAAAATTGTTCCTTTAACTTGTATAAATTTGCAACTTCACCAAAAAATCAAAACCCATCACTCGGTATGTGGAAATAGTTTAATTTGAATGTTTATGGCTTGGTTTCGTTTACAATCGTCTCGTTCGATTAAGTTCTACTTCGAAGGATGCTTGGCATCATCAAAAATAATACACACATATACAAATATATATATAGTTATGCTAAACATGTATGGTTAAAAGTTAAGAACGTAATCTACCGTAATAAATTATGTAATACATAATACTCGTTGTCAACTTTGGCCAGTTTCTTAAATTATTATCAAGGTACAGATTTAATTACATTATCAAAAGAATAGACAAATTTACAATATAAGCATTAAAATTAGTAAAAAGTTACAAAAATATAAACATTTTTCTGAATAAAAATTTTTGAACTTTGAAAATAAATAATATTTAATGTGCGAACAATAAAACAGTTGGAAAATTCAACAATAATTTAAGAAACTGGACTAGTGACTGATCCTTTTAGCGTTGTTATCCTTTGGGGTCATGTGTAGGCTTCCAAATGATTAAATTGGATCCTGCTCTTCGGTGTGATCTAACTTAACAAATTGGCTACTTACTGCTACGAATATAATGTTCTTAGTTTTCTTTTTGTTTGTGTCTTTACTAGCCTAGTTGCCAAATCCTTCGTCCTTTTTTCAGCCCTCGTTCAGCCCCACCCCATCCCGCCCCGTATACAATCTATGAACACAGTCAGCTTTTGTCCTGTTCCCTTGACACCTACAGAAAGGTCTCCCGGTTGGCTCTGCCCATTCTCCTCCAGCGCCAGTCCCACCATCATGGTGGTGCGTCGTTGGGATCGGGTGGTGGCTTCGCCGGCTGCAGCACCACCGGTGGTGGAGTCGTCGTAGCCGAGGTGGGTGCAACGAGGAAGCCACTGGAGGCTCCAGGAAGTGGCATGCCCAGGAAGCCGGCTACTCCCGTGTTGGCCGAGTCGCCGTCGTCCATGATGACCGAACTGTCGGCAGCCGAGGGAATGGTGGGCAGGAAGCGCACTCCCAGGCGTGGTGGCGACGAGTCCTCCTCCTCCTGGACCGCCTCCTGGCGCACCAGTCTGGGCTTTACCGCATCCAACTGTGCTTTGCCGTTGTGGGCTGGAAAGGGACACATACAATAGAAAGATAATTAGCATTGCTTATGTTATAAGTAATATAATATTTTAATAACTTTTGGTTTGATTCTCTAATAATTGCTTTTATTTTGGCCATTTTAATCTTGACCAATTATTTTAACTCATTTTCGTGTTATTTATTTTTAAATTTCCGATGATTTGTAAAACGGTTTTCCAAAATTGACCTTCTCCAGTGCAAAACTTTACCAAATTTAAACCGACAAATCAAACACCTCTAAAGACTTGTGGTTCGATTCTCAAAAAAACTGCATTCAAATTTATCGTTTTATCGTTTACGGAATTTTTGACCCATTTTCATGTTAGTTATTTGTGAGTTTCTGATGACTTGTATAAAAGGTGACCCGCAATTGCACTTAACTTATAACTTTACCAAATTTAAGCCGATTTCAAATTGATAGGCCTCTAAAGATTTTTTTAAAGTTGCAAATTATATTATTATTTTTGGCTTGTGCGTATTAGAATTACTATGTTCTAAATAGTATCTAAAATGTGGTTCAAATGTGGTTCTAGTAATGGAATGACTAGGTTCATAATAATATATAAAAAATTAATATATTTCTCAATAAATAGGTATGTGAGCAGGATATACTGACCTATGATCGAGGGCAGGGGCGTGCTGCTGCCTGCACTGGAGCGCGACAGCCGGAAGGTGGAGGTGCTGGCGGTGGTGGCCGAGGCGGAGGAGTCGTTCCGCGAGCTGGACAAATTGGAGTCCTGCGACGTCTTGCGGGTGATCAGCCAGGCGGAGTGGCGCCTCCTGCCGTGTCCGTGCGGATGACCATGTGGCTCCAGCATTTTCAGCGGCATGCTGCAGTTGCCCGGTGGCACGGGGGCGGAGGAGGGTGGACCGTGCCGCCAGCTGGATGACCTCGAGCTGCAGAAGTTCTCGCTTGAAATAGAGCTGGCCCGATTCTGGCGCTGCTGTCGCAATTCAGCGAACTGATACTGATAGGGATTCGCAGCGGCGGCGGTATAGGCCCGCTGGCGCCTCTGCTGCGGCTGCCTGCGCTGCTTCCTTCGCCGTCTGCTCTCTCCGCAGCAGAAGGTCCTCAGTCGCTGCCACAAACTCGGCGTCTGCTCCATCTTGTGCCAATTGGGCATTTCGCTGGGCAGCATCCTCAGGCAGCGGCAACCTGGTGGATGGGCCACCGCCGCAGCGGGCAGCAGGGGTGGCGGAAGTTCACCCCTCTTCGTGCGAGCCACTGCGCCACGCCCACCCTGACCACCGCCTCCCACAACACGCGACTCCTCGAAGTGCTTGCACAACGTCACGCAGTCCTTCTTGAACTGCTTGGTCATTATGGCGTAGAGAAAGGGATTGCAGCAGCTGTTCAAGGGCAGCACAAACACCGTGAAGATCTTGGCCTGCTCCAGCGAAATCAGTTGCAGGCCAAAGATGGCCGTGATGGAGAAGAAGGCGATCGGCGACCAGCAGAGGAAGTCCGTGAAGACCAACAGGGCCATCCGCTTGGCAATGCGCGAGTCATTGGTGTTCCACGCCTGGCTACCCCTAATGGCCCAGTACATCTTCAGGTAGCAGCCCATCAGCGTGAGGAAAGCACATCCGTTGATGAACATCAGTGAGATCACATAGGTCAGGCTGGCCGGTCCCGTGGTCGTCTCAAATGGCAGACACACTGCGAACTTCCTGTAGTCCGAAACTCCGAGCAGGGGCATCAAGGCCATCAGCAGGGCGAACACCCAACCCACACTCATTATATAGCCCGCCTGCTTCAGTGAAAGCCTCTTGTTCAGGTGAATGGCATGGGTGATGGCATAATTCCGCTCCAAGGTGATCACCGCCAGCGTGTAAACGGACAACTCCGAGCTGAGAACGGCGAGGAATCCGGACAACTGGCAGAGCAGCGACATCTGCCAGGGAATGGCGAACATGCGGAACTCGCCCAAAGTGGCCGCATCCACAATGGCCAGAATGCCCAGGTAGATGCCCATGAAGAAGTCCGCTGCCGCCAGGTTGCACACCAGGAATCGGGGCACATCCATCTTGGAGCGCGAGCAGAGCAGCACAAAGACCACTGTGCCGTTGCCCAGAAGCGACAGCAGGAAGACCACCCACACTCCGCAGCGCAGGGTCCACCAGTCGAAGAGATCGGCGCAGGGCAGGAAGGGTCCTGGCATTGGGAGGCACTGCACCGATCCCGGCTGAAAGTCCTCGGTGGACATGCCCGAGAATAGACCCGTTCCGAAGCCATATCCCGTGGCCGGACCACTCACGTCGTGCTCCTCGAAGTACTCCTCCATGTAGCTGGTGGCGATCTGCCCTCCAGTCTGCGACTGCAGCTGCTCCTCGTTGAAGTTGGCAGCCGCATTCCAGGGATCGTGCATGGCCGCACCCAGCTGCTTGCTGAGATTATCTAAGGAGGGAAGTTACTTTTAATAAAATCGATTTAATATTTTACATTCAAAATCCAACAAAATTGTCTATCCTTAAACCTTATCTTCCCAATTATAAAATATTAAAAATATTAAAATTTCTATAGAAATCGCATTAGATATTCCCAATACACGTTATTCACACCATTCTTATATATATTTTTTAAATAAGCTATAAATCTTTATCCTTCTGTATTAAATTATTTTTTACACACATTATGTAGCAGTAATTTTAAGAGCTCTTAGTATACAAATTAAATGATATATCAAATCTGATATTATTACAACTTAAAGTCTAATATAGGTGATACTCACGCATTTGTGGCCAGATATTCATCATGCTGTTGTTCCACAGGGTCATATCGAATTCCGCATCGGAGGGAAAGAGTACGGCCTCCTGAACCTGAGAGGTTTTCTTCTGGGCAGACATTGCCACCAGGGGCAGAAAAGCACAGCAATGGTAGGCATAGGAAAGAATCAGCGTTTGAATCCGAGGAAAGGTGTCTGGTGGCGGAAACTCCCTTAGTTTCGGATTGTTGAAGGTCTTCAGGTGGAGCAAAGCACGCAGTCCCGATTCTGGCAGTTCGGGAAAAATATTGTTGCCCAAGTTGAGATCCTCTAGCGCTGTAAAGCCGGAGAAGGCCTCCTTGTGTATATGAGAGATCTCATTGCCCTCCAGGTCACTGTGAATAAAGAAATACCCCTTAATGGTATATAAATATATTTTAAATTTATATGAACCCACAGCAGTTGGAGCTTGGGAATGCCTTGAAAGGCATCTTGGGGCAGGGCCTTGATTCGATTGTAGGAAAGCAACAGATCGTGCAACTGCTTCAATCCGTTGAAGGGCTTCCCCTGAATCGTTTCAATTTGATTGCTCGATAGATCTCTGGAAGGAAAGTTATAGTCGTTATGTACGGAAATTTTCTCAATAGTTCGATACTCACAACAGCCTTAAGTCTCTGCAGCTACTTAAATTTGGGATGCGTTTAAGGGAATTGGTTTTTAGTTCTCTGTGAATAAATTAATTAAAATATAATTGATTTTAATGCCCCCTTCGTTTTACTTACAAACTCTTCAGTCTTGGCGTTTGACGGCATAGATTCGTTGGCACCTCCTGAATGCCGGCACGATCCAGTTTGAGTATTTCCAGGGCATGGCAGGCCTCGAGTTCAGGAAACGAGCGCAAAGTTCGCACATCCGATAAAATTCTGAGAAATCAAAGAGCTTAATTTTCTTGACAC